CGGCCCGGCAAAACCTCGGGTCCCAAAAGCCCTCTGTTGTCAATGTCTACAACAGGTCTGTCAGCTTCCGGCTCCAGCTTTAGAGATAACAAACCCCCAGCCACCAAACCCAAGCCTGTGGTGTTCCCAAAAAGCAGTTCGGCAGGGGGATCCCCAACCACCACCATACTGCCAACACCACCGCCCCCTCCACCACCCACCGACAAGTCTTGCCCCGTCTGAGGGTTTACAGCCTCGATCTGTGATCAATTTCTTAGTAATTCCAAGAGCACCCTCTAATACTGACTCTTTGGATTTTCATGAAAAACTGTGGACAACTTAACAGACTCAAACTGATATTGGATGCTTGCGTGATTGAGCATGAGTGTGTGTGTATGGAATTAATATACACATGTGGAATATTGGAGTGATTTTACAACACTGTTTTAGTTTGGATTGAGACATGGACGTCAGCAATCCCTCTTTTCTAATCCCAAATTAGTGGTTTGGAATTTTTTTCGACTGATTTTATAAGGGGTCAGACTTTGAGGACAAACGAGCAGTTGGAAGTGCTTTCTGAGGACACATTCTTCCCCTCGGACTTTGGTGCATCTTGAATCAGGTTACAGACGGCGCAGCATCTCAGTAAATAGAAACACATTTTCCTGATATGAATTTGCCGCTCCTTGTCACATAACAGCATTACATCTTGATCCAAATCTGTCTTTTTCTTCAGATTCTACAAATCTGTTATACAATAATCAGTAGTTACAGTTCATATAATCCACAGTTTCTGCTTAAACACACCAATCCTAAACTCACCAAATAAAGGAATAGGAACATCTTTGCATGAGGATTCACAAGATATTTGCATGGCAAACGTGGATTCCCTAACAAACAGATTCAAAAGCACTTCTGACATTATTAATATGTGGTTTTATTGTACTATTATATCAGAGGGCACATAAAAAAGAGATTGATGTTTTGTATAAGTTTAATGATCATGATTATAACTGGAAAAAGTGATCTAAAAATGAGGAATGTCATGCAAGCACATTATTTCTTTGTCGCCCATGTATAAAAAAACAAAACAGATAAAAGAAACATGATTTTATTTCATTTTCACTAGGTCATTACTCACCTTTGGGTCTGTATCATGGTATCTATGTATTAGTATGTGTGTGTACGTACAGTATGTATATTCTGAATCTTAGCAGCCTAACAGCAGCTTTTAGAGATTGACGATGCAAAAAAGGGAAAGACTTAAAACAGACCAATGGCGGATACATGCAAAAACGTAGCTTGCTTTCCTCTGTTTTTCCAACTCTGAAAGGATAAGCGTGCCAAAAGCCTCTTTAAAAGTCTGACAATCTTCATCACACGGTCTGCCTGATTATGCCCCCCCCCCCCAAATAACGCAGAATTTTTTGAGGACAAGCCTTTTCCTTACATGTTATTTTCTGAATGTGTTGTCGTGTTCTGAAAACGTCTTCACAGTTGGTTACATTTGTTCATGTGTTAATGATTGGAAGTATTCTGTGTGTGTTGTTCCTGATACCTCATAAAGGCAACTGGAAACTGTCTTATTGGAGTTCTTTTGTGGGCGGGACTTTTACATGCAAATGACAGCAGGAAACTCGCGGTGTGTGTTTAATGTTAATAGTATGCTGTTGGCCGAGGCCTCCGTTTACACACACATACTGTTTTCTTTCATCGAGTAAACTGAAATCAATCATTATACACTTGAATCTGCATTGTATGTTTGTGAACAAATTAAGTGAGGGTGATTTTCTTTCTTTATTTGTAATCATAACTATTGTTAAAATGTAATTCCTGTCCAATTGAAACAAGACCGTAAAATGAATTGTCTTGTCAGATATATTTATAGTTGTCCATTCAGATATCTGTTACCAGAGAAACCTGTGTTCAGATGTACTTTGTATATACAATAGTGTACATTTACAGAGGTACATTCTTTTTCTTCATAATTTGTTTGTGGTTTTCTTTTTCTTTTTGGTACAATATTGTACAGTTACCACTGTAGTTGCCACTCAAATATACATTCTATAATTCCACGTGTAGTTCTTGTAGTAAACATTTTTAAATAAATAAATAAATTGCTTGCTGAATGTGTATTTGATTATTTGCAATAAAAATGTGCAAAAAAATTAAAATGATATTTTTCCCAATTTTGCCAGTCACTTTTTCATTTTAAATAAAACATGCTTGCTAAACATCTTTTTGATTGTTTGAATAAAAAGGTGTAAATTGTGAAAAAAAATCCTACTTTTATTTTTTATTTTTGTAAACACTTATTTTTAATTTTTATTTTTGCCAATGTTTTGATTTTTTTTGGTTTACATATATAACGGGGCATGGATCTCTTGTTACAGTGGCTAGCATTAAGCAATTTTACCAGCCATTACACAAAAAGTACCCACATTTAGCTTTCACACATTTGTTGTTTGTAATGTTTGTAAAATACCTGAGTGATTCACATCATATCTAGGTTTTTCTATGGAACTAGAAGGGACTGTCCAGCTGCAGCTCCAATTTCTCATGAATTTCCTAATTCCCGATTCTTTAGTGTTCATTCACTGGACAAAAATGAATCCAATATAGTATGGAATTTCATTAAGAAACTAGAGAAGTTTGTTCACTTGCTAAGTAATAAAAAATATATTTATATATAGATCAAAAATGATTTTTTACTTCTTTGTTTTTTGCACCATAAATTGTACAGAAGGAAAAGATACCTCTCTGTTATGAAGAACCTTAAGACACCTATTCTGTTCTTGAGGAAATTAAAAATATATTTAAAGTGTCGAAATCTGATTAAGAATTAAATCTGATTAATAATTAAAGCTGTCATAATAGGTGAGAGTGCGTCACACCTGTCCTGATCTCACTCCAGAAGACGCTAAAAAATCAAACATAAAATCAAATATAAAACGATTTTACATCAAGGTATAGACGTTTAACTCGACGATACATTGTATCGCTTTGAAGCGCAATGGAGTGAAGTAAAGGTCGGCGCCTATACCTTGTGTTTGTTGCCTGCATGTGGGAAAGCATGGCTGGTCGTAAGGATGAAGAGAAAGACTCTGGACTGTACATCACACATGAACAGGTGTGTGAATTGATGGAGCAACAGAAAGCCTTCTATAAAGAACTGTTGCAACAACAAGATAATATGAGTCTTAAGCAATCAATATTTCCACAGGCCTGGAAGGAAGCTAAAATTATGCCTTTGACTAAAGATAGAAAACTACAATTTAGTGGCTCCAATAGCCGCCCGGTGAGTGTGTTACCAGTGTTAAGTAAGATCCTAGAGAAGGCAGTATTTGATCAAATTACAAGATTATTATGTATCACAGAATAATCTGATATCAAATTATCAGCATGCTTTTAGAAAAGGACACAGCTTTAGCACAAATGACAGATGGATGGTATCAAGGGTGGATAAAAAAAGGATATGTGGAGCAGTCTTATTAGATTTTACAGCTGCATTTGACCTTACTGATCATAAGCTTCTTTTGGAAAAATTGGAGTTATATATTTAGACCACCAGTAATTGCTTGGAAGGAAAATTATTTGGATAATAGATCACAGAGAGTTTTTTTTTTTATTAACGGAAGTTATTCAGATAGAAGGGGAATTTAATGTGGAGTTCCACAAGGGAGCTGTTTAGGACCACTTTTGTATTCCATTTTTACAAATGATTTATATCTGGTATTAAGAAGTGCTAAATTAACAATGTATGCAGACGAAACAGCAGTTTAAGCATCTGCACAACTGTCGGTTGAATTGACGGCTATTTTGAATGAGGAGTTGGAGAGTATAGAAAAGTGGATTTTAGAAAACAAGTTGATACTAAATACATCTAAAACAAAGAGTACAATATTTGGGTCTAATATTTCTCTACAGTCCAAACCGGAGCTGAAATTATATATAAATAAAACACGTATTCAGCAAGTTAAGGAAGCAAAACTATTGGGTATCACCCTGGATAATAAATTGTCATGGTCAAAGCATATTGAGAACAATAGTGAAAGAATGGGAAGGGTGGTAGCTGTAGTAAGGAGATGTAGACAATATTTTACGTTTGATATAATGAGAATAATATTAGATTAGAATATTAGATTAATCCTCCAGTGTCCGTATGGATATGAATTGTATGCACTTTGATCTTAAATGGCTAAGAGTGGAAGATAATTTTGAAGATGATTGCTGCAACACTGTTATCAACATGGAAGGTTTTACATTTTAAAACTCCATTGGATGAGTATAATCAATTACAATCTAACATTCAGTCACATGTTAAATTGTGTCTTTTTAACAGTCATGTTAAAAAGTTGCGTAAAACAATTAAAGCAAATCGTTTAACATATGATCATGCTTTTCTGTTTTTAAATTCGATGATATTATCACATATGGTATATGGATTAGCTATTTGGTCTCAGACAAATCAATCCATAATTAATCAGGTTGAATGTCTTTACAATAGAGCTTTGAAAATTTTAGATAGAAAGCAAATAAGATACCATCATTGTCAGATCCTAAGCAAATACAAGATTTTGAGCTTTGCTCACTTTGTCTTTTTTCATTATGTAAAGTTTGTGTTTAAATGTTTAAATGGTCTTGCTCCTATGCCCTTATGTACATTTTTCAAGAGATTGCAGGGAAGCAGTAGATCCACTAGAGCGGCTTCTAGTGGAAACTGTAAAGTTATACATTGTAAAACATCATTTGCTCAGACTGTTCTCTCAGTGAAAGGTGTAAAATTTTGGAATTCATTGCCTGACTATTTAAAATCGACTGTAAATTATAATCATTTTAAGAAAGCCACGAAATTTTGGTTGATACATCAACAAATCTGTAGTCATGTTTAGTGTACTTGTATTATAAATTTGTGTACTAGTTTTTTGTAATTGTAATTTATAAAAGCCCTCCTAGGGACAGGTGTTGCAAAGCACTATGGTACATGCATGGGATGACTGTTGTTTCATTTTCATCTATGTTTATTGTATCTGTCCCTAACAAATAAAACATTCAATAAAAAAATAATGAATATGCCACTAGACGAGCAACAGAGGGTAGATTTATACCCCCTAATGCTAAAACTAATTTTCTTAAATGTACAGTAACATTTAGGGCAATGAAATCATGGAATCTTTTACCATTGTCATTAATTAGGATAGCACGAGAAATTGATTTTAAAAGGCAGGTAAAAGCACACCTTGGAATTCTGTACTTATCAGAATCAGAATCAGAATCAGAATCAGAATGAGCTTTATTGCCAGGTATGTTTACACATACGAGGAATTTGTTTTCGTGACAGAAGCTTCCACAGTGTAACAGAATGACAGTGACAGGACAAAAAACACAGATAATAAAAAAAAAAAATAAATAAAAAATAGAACAAGTAAATAAGGAATAAAAATATATAAATTGACAATTGCATGTGCAGGTATATTACAATAGACAGTTTTGTATGTACAGGTATATTCTGTGCAAATTTGAGGTGTAGACTGAGTATGTGTGTTAGATAAATAAGTGTATGAGTGAATAAATAGTGTGTGTTCCACAGTTATTGTCAAGTGTTCATGAGATGGATTGCCCGAGGGAAGAAACTGTTCCTGTGTCTGGCCGTTCTGGTGCTCAGAGCTCTGTAGCGTCGACCAGATGGCAACAGTTCAAAGAGGGAGTGTGCTGGATGTGAGGGGTTTATAGGAGTTTGAGGTATAGGAATTAATTGAATGAGCAATACGTGTTTTATATAGTAGGTGTTATAGATATTAAAAAGGGTGGAAGAAATGTTTATAGAGATGCTTTGGAATGTGGAGAATGTATTTAACTTTTTATTTTCTTATTTTTTTCTTAATTTTTTAATGTATGTAATAATGTATGAATGTTAAGTGTGGTGTGGACCCCAAGAAGACTAGTAATGCTTTAGGGCATAGCTAATGGGGATCCAAATAAATAAATAAACAATTTATCCTTAGCAGAAAATATGGGCATCTTTTCATCGTTTTTTCTAAAGAAATCCGGGAAAGCTTCGTAAAGAATTGACTAAAATATGCAAATCTAGGTAAAAGTTATTTCCTTGTGTCTTACGTTACGCTTTTGAACAGGCGTCAGGCAAAAAAAATGCCTTTTTTTAGCCTATGCTTGCCCTTCTGCTTTATTTTGCTATTTTAAATTCCGTCCACGAGAGGGCGACATCCATTTTTGGTTTATTGTCACTTTTAATATGGTGGACTAAAATGGTTAGTGGTTTGCATATAAATTACGTAAAATGACCCACAACATAATATTTTAAGTCGTGTTATGTTTTCTAGCTAACTTTCAGATTAAAACATATGTCAAGAGAAAAATACACCAGTACCCTTAACACAAACGCGATGCACCGAACAAGGAAGTTCCTGACAGAAATGAAAGTTGCTGCTGACACTGGTTTCCGTCGAGCTGCTCTCATAACTTATACAGGACGACTGCAGGTGTAATTAGTCCACGGAAAAAACACACAGGGATTGACAAATTCGGATAAACGTGGAAAATGCGCAGACATCAAACACACAAATGGTTGGTTTGTTTTTGTGGTTTCGTGTGTAAGTTAGTCAGTCAGAGTGATGACGTTTATGATGATATGAAGGGGAAATCTTCAGTCACTAGACTGTCGGCAGTTCACACAACGTCTTTCCATAAACATTATCTTTTTACATTTATCTTTGGAGAAATATGATGATGTTTAAATATATTCCGTGTTTGCAGGTCATATAGAAAGGAAATGGATTTTATTTGACGCCTCTGTTGTGACGTGAGTGACTTTTGAGGCGTATTGTGTTCAGAAACAAACCGGTGAGTCACTTTTGCTTAAAGGGGTCATATGATGCTTTTTTAAAGAACATTATTTTGTGTATTTGGTGTAACAGAATACGTTGACATGCTTTAATGTTCAAAAAACACATTATTTTTCAAATACTGTACATTATTGTAGGTCCTCTATGCCCCGCCT